TAATCGATTTTTTTGACCCACCCTAATATACACAGAGAAAAAAATATTGTTAAAATGACTATCCAACGTATCCTCAAATGACGTTTCCTTAAAATAACGATCCGGATTCCTAATTTAAGGATTCATTTGTTTAAATATATGTAATTTCGTCAAAACAGGCAACTGTTTTGTTAACGTGACGATCTGTATAGTTGTTAACTAAATTTAACGCTAAAATAATGATACGGAGCGTCATTTTGATGATCCGCTGTATAGTTCAATTGGCTATACAGCGATCTCTAAAAAAAATGACTATACGGCGTATAGTCAGAATAACGATACGTATCCTTATTCTAACGATATTTTTTTCTCCGTGTATTTTTCATCCCTATGTCAACATGAGTATATTTCTTATGATAATAGAGGAATTTCACCTATATGTTATCTATAGGTATAATTCCGACGTATTATTCGAAGTTTTCCGATATCAACGTCGGGATAATACCCATGTTGAACATAAATATAACTACTATGTTTCTGTAAGAACAACTTCAGTTAAACCCTATGTATTTTTCCTTATTACATTGGCATTTTTACAATGTTACATAGCGAAAATTATTAACTAAAACGTAGTTATATAATTACTATGTTTTATAGGAATTCTAACTTGGTTTTATAGGAATTATAACTACGTTAGCATAGTAAACTTTCCTATGCCAATATTAGAAGAATACTTATGCAATTATAGAAAAAATACTAATCTTGTTCTCTCTTTGTATGAGTGTCCACTAACCTGATTCCAGCGACCCCAGCATCGATGATTTTATTAAGAAACTCGACAATTTTCCCTCTAACATACTCCTTTTTCTGATCAAGATCATGCAGTCCCACCAATTCACAATTCCTCACTTGGAAAGGGTCATTCCAGTTGTCAATCGAACATGGTAAATGAAAATTGCTATTATTATACGGAACTGCGCTGTAATTTCTAGCCCCCAAGTCAGCTGTCGAATTTCCTGTACCACTCACAGTTTTTCTTTCCTTTAGAAGATTTTCCGGGTTCGCAGACATGTGGTTTATTATCACGTCAACATAAATCCTCACTCCAGCTTTGTTGCAGCGCGTCACCATATCTCGGAACTGAGTCTCATTTCCAGAACGCGTCGTCCATTGATATGAAATTGTTTGATAGCGCTCCCACCAAGGACGCTTCGGAACTATTAAGTTCTCTTGTACCGGTGAAACCTAGTTACATTGATGATGTTTATTTAAAAAAATGTACTGATAGAAAAACTTATGAACTGTTGACAATAAATTTATTATCAACAATTCAATTATAAATTTATTGGGGTTCCGGTTGAGGGCGCTAGTGACCTAAAGTGTTCATTTTTAACAAATGTTTGGTATTTAGTTTCTATAAATTAAATATTGTTTTAAATAGTCGACTCATCATTATTTTAAAGAGGCAATTTAATATTATCTGCCGAATAATCAAGTTTACGTGTGCAAAGTATTTTTGTCATGGAAAATGAAAGATCAGCTTTCGAGGTTAAGTGAGGTTAAGTGAACCATGTGCTGGTAAATAAACATTACACGGTATGAATTCCATTGACAACATCAAGATCAACAGTGACTCTATGGAGAATACGCACTTGCCCAGTTCTGTCTCTTCACAGATAACACCTGAACTGAATAGCAAAGCTACCCCTAGCTGTCGCTCCAAAGGACGGTTATCAAAAGCTGAACGTCTAGCTAAGAATCCAGATAGTTCATCAGGGTCGATACTGGATTTCTTCCGTAAAAACCACAGTTCGAATAAAAGGGAGAGAGAGGTTGACACAGTCAGCCCACCTTCCAAACAGCAAAGAGCCTTATCTTCTTCTCCGGACGCACAATACTAAATGACAAACCCAGAAATTGTTATATCTCTAAATTAAAATTTTATTTCTAAAATTAAAGACATCAAAGACTCTATCACTAGGCTTATCAACTCAGTCAAATCTGATCTGCTCGCAGAAAATAAAGCTCTAAAACTGGAGATAAATAAAATCACGGCTCGCCTCGACACACTCGAAAAACGTTCCACCATAACCCCACATGACACTACATTCAATCAGTTAAATGAAAACAAGTTAGCCAGAAAAGTTATTTCCACAGTTGAAAAACACCTGAGAAAAAATAATGCCATCATCTCGGGACTTAAGGTGAAGGAAAAAAACGCTTGTGACACTGTCAATGAATTTATTTATACCCACTTTAAAATGCCAAACGGTATCATCAGTGCTACTGTTTTTGGTAAAGCCAAAAGAATCAAAGCGACATTCAGAGACGGAGCAACTATGTCACATTAGTTACATTGTCACATATCTGAAGCTGAAAGGCGCCGAGGGTCTCTTCATCGACAGTTGTGAAATCCCACTATTAATGTACGCTGATGATATCGTCTTGGTAGCTTCAACGGAGGTAAAACTACGCAGAAGTCTAAAAATCTTAGAAGAATACTGCAAAATAAACGGCCTCACAGTCAATACAACGAAGACCAAAATACTCATTATCGGATCTACTGGCCGTCTCTCAAGGCAACTTGAAAATTTTTCTTTCCTTGGTGAAGCTTTAGACATAGTTCCAACTTACGGATATCTAGGCATCGCATTCTGCACGTCACTATAAGGTACTATCGCCACAGACTCAGCCATCAAAAAGAGCAAAATGGCGACCAGTACGGTACTTGGGATACTTAATAAACTCAACACCAGCGTCTGGAATGGCGTAATTAAACTACATAGCAATATTATCCATAGCAGTAATATTATTTGGAGTCTGAGCCAGACTACCCTGGAAAGATTGGAATCGGCAAATTTGTACTTCTTCAAACGCTTGTTGAATCTCCCTCTAAGTACTCCACACTACGCAATCCGCCTTGAGCTTGGGCTGATTCACATCTCACTGTACGTCCTAAAAGCCGCCCTGAGCTGGGTGATTAAGATACTTGATATGCCCAGCAACCGCTTGCCTAAAATATATCTTAAAAAACTTGTCCAGCTCACGGATACTTCATTCAACTCTGACCGCCTCAATTTGTACCAGCAACTTTCAAACATCCTAATAAACATCGGTGCAGAGGATTTGCTTTCCAACCTAACAGCAGACTACTGGAGAAGCATGAAGCCAGCGATTCTCGAGAAGTACAAAGACTATCGACACTCACGTGACATGGAAAAATATTATCTTTCCAAATCATGTATCTTCTACTTCAACAACGTAAGTTTATCCCATACTTCCGCAAAGTTCATCCTTAGCCAACTACCAGATCACCTAGCTAAACTGCTCTGCCAATGCCGTCTCTCCACAATCTTCGCCTGCCATATCTCGGTGAGAAAACTTCACATAAAGCTGTCACCCACAAATAACTGTCCCAGCTGCTGTACTCGAGAAATCAGACAACATCCTACATCTGCTATCTGACTGACTAGCCGACCAAATACCTAGAGAAAAGTTTCTGAGCCAATGGTCCAACCATAAAACTCCAAGGGGTATAGATCCAGTATTTCTGGAATCATGGAGCACCGATTCGACTAAAAAATTATTTGCCTTTTGTAAGGCTTGCTATTTTATCAGAAATCACCTAGAAGGTACTGACTGATGGTTAAGTTATAACGGCGCTGTGTGATTCCATATTTCTATTTTTACCTTTATTTTATTATATCTATCTATATTTATTTATCCAAATTAATTATTGTTTTTACTCCTCAACCTAACTCTAATGTAAAATTTTGTGTTGATGATTGTATCCTAGTGAAATACAAATAAATATTATTATTATTATAAATTTATTATTATTTATTGGAAAACAATTTATTGATTTTTGAAATATAATTGAATATTTTTCAACTATTATTAAACATATGGGTGATTCTCTGTAAGGATGTTTTTTGCTGTCCCAGGCATTTTTTTATTAGAAAAATTGTTATATTGTTACTAAAAAAAATTTATTACGAAAGTAAAAAAACATTTCTATTTGGAGCATTGAAAACTAAAATGGAATAAATTTTGGTTTTTCTGCTATGAATTCGTAAACCACCGAAATGTCAGTCCCCTGGGCTGTCTCAATCCCAAAATTAAAACTTTAAGATTAAATTTTAAGTTATTCGTCAATAATATATAATTTGGTCCATAATGTTTATAAACTTCATTAGTTAACTAACAACCTTCTTCATTAAAAAGTACCGAAAGTTAATTTGTTTCATTAAATTCATTAAACCAAAGTTTGTCCCAGGCATTTGAGATCAGTCCCCTGCCAGAAGTTCAAAGCAAAAAAAAAAAAAAGTCTAGCGGGTTATTTTATCTTTTTGTAAGGTTTATAAGGATCTAACTAGCCTTAAGTTAATAACCATAGGGCTGTTAGCACTTTATCGCCATTTTATTTAGTGTTAAAGCACCGTTTGGGCTGGAAATATGTGTCTGGGCCACTTCAAAACTCAGTCCCCTGGCAGCTATTTTTGTTTATAATTTATTTATAAAATTGGATCCATAAGTCTTAATATTATTCTAATTAATGTAAACATTCATCGAGAACTTAAAAAGTAGAATGCATTGAAATAGTTTGCTTGATTTTTCTTGATTTGATAAAAAAAATCAGTCCCCTGGAGGTCAGTCCCCTGTCATGTTATATGGCAAAAGATACACAAATATCTAAAAAGCAAAAATTAATTCGGCTAGTTATTTATTATAATTAAGCTGATAGTTTTGTAGCCCTTGTTAATTTTTTTTCTAATAAAATCAAAAATAATTTGGCCGGACCATTTTGTACAGATTTAAGACGTCCTTACAGAAAATCACCCATATATAGGAAAAATTCGAACTATTCGAACTACATTTGAAAAATTAAAAAAACAATCGAAACTTCGAAAGTGACCAACTAGACTGCACCCTTAAATTTTAATAAATGATTTCCCGATTTTATACGATTCAATAAATATTTATTGGCTGTGAAAAATGTAATTTAATAAACGATTGATTAACTATTTATAATTACCTATTAAATCATTTGTTTATAGTTAATCAAGCTTATTAAATTTTAACACATCCTTCAATTAGTGCATAGAAAAAAAAATTATTTTGTCTGAGATTCGAATCCAGGATCCCTGGAAATTTTTTAATGGAATTAAATACCCAAATTTCGTAGTTCTAACTACAAGAACTGTAGCCATCCAGCGGAGGTTTTGAGAAATACTGTTTCTATCCAATTTATTTTACACTATTCCAAATTTTTCTGTTAATGCATTGAATTTTTTTTTTTTTTTAATAAAAATAATAAAAATAATAATAATAATAACAAGTGATGTTAATGGTTACCTGAACACCGGCATAACCCTTGGGCCCCAGAAAACGTTCACACTCAACCGCAATATCCGACCACGTCCATTCAAACAGATGTACCATAACATCATGTCCAGGAGTGTAATTGGGATTCTTAAAGGCACTATCATCCGCTAAAACAACTGCCACAATAATGCTGGATGTTAAGCCCAGCACAATAATCACACGTGCGTGCATGCTTAAGAAGAATTCACTCGATGAAGAGTAAAATACCTCTGTAATGTGTCTTTGTGGTCACCCTGAGCCAAAAGACGTTTTATCCAAGATGCAAGACCAAAGACCAAAGACGCTATCGCTCATCCGATACAAATAACTTTTATTATCGGTCACCACGCCTTTTATATCTTATTCAATGCAATAATCATGTCCCGTTATCTTGAGCACTTACCGTTGAATACAATAATGTGCTGTAATTACATGCTACTTCGGAATTTTTAATTCAGTGCAGAAATAATCGAAAAAAAATCTAAGATTTTGTTATGAATTTTAATTTAAACTTTGCGAAATTAGTAAATTTTGATTCTTTTACAAAGCTATAATATGGCAAAATCATCCGAATAATTTACTAAAGAAAAATTTGGCTCTTATATATACTTCGGTAAAATCTTCCTGCTAGCGAGAACTTAAATCCATCTAGCGGCAGAACTCAGAACTAACTTCAAAAATCTCAAAAAAAATTTTCTCAATTAGGTGCAAAAGAATGAGAAAAAAATTAGGAAAAGTTTAAGCACTTAAAATTGCACTTATCACGTTTTTGAGCTCTTTGAGCTCAAAAATATCATTTTCGTATCATTTTGAGCTCAAAAGTCTTATCGAAGTTCAATGAAACACTTTTTTTTTCATTATCAAACTGCTATAACTTTTGAATGAATCAACCGATTTTCACGAGGTTGGCGGTGATCGACGTAGTTTTTTGAGCTCTATAGAAAATTTAAATAAAAAAAATTGATCTAGTGAAACATTCCGGAGTTATTACAAAAAAACACTTTTTTCGATTTTTTTCGACAACGATATCTCACGAACGCATTAGCCGATTCTGACGCACTTGGGAGCGATCGATACGGGTTTTCAAGGTTAAGAGCTAAATAGTTTTTGAGGTCGATCGGTTCAGCCAATTCAGAGATATTTTGAAAAAATAAAAAAAACAACTTTTTTTCACTTTTTTTGCAATTTCTCGAAATCTACCGGTCCGAATTGGTTCCAACTCATAGAAAATCTAAGTTTGGCGAAGCCCTTTCGAATGTCACCAACTGCGATCAAATCGGACACACACACATACATACAAACGTACGGACATCATCGTAAAAATAGTCAAGAAAGCTTCTTAGGGCTTCAAAACGTCGAGATCTGTTGAAACCTCGATTTTTTCAAAACGAGGTAAAACCAATAACTTCCTGATTTTTCGAAAATCATTGATTTTCTTAGCGGGAAGTTAAAAATTTTTAAATGAGTTCTTAGTTTTTATTGATACATTACGTATTGATTATTCAAACAAATATTTCAATTGGTTAGAAATTGATTAGACGGCAGAATTATTATAGACAAAAAGTTCAGTCCTAATATATACTTTGCTAAGATATTTCTGCTAGCGAGAATTTCAGGCCATCTGGCGGCGAAGCCAAGAACTAACTTTATAAGTTGTTAAAAAATTATACAATTTTAATCATTTAATTTCAATCATGATGTCCCGAAAAATTAAAAAAATTTGTTTTAAAAATATTCCAATATTAAAAAATCTTAATGTAAAATCCATCTAAACTCTAGAGACTCTTCCGTCTTTTTCTCATCTTTGTGATGTTCATCTTTGTGATGTTCATCTTCATGATGTTCATGATTATCATCTTCATCATCTTCATGATGTTCATCTTCATGATGTTCATGATTATCATCTTCATCATCTTCATGATGTTCATGATTATCATCTTCATCATCTTCATGATGTTCATCTTCATGATGTTCATCTTCATGATGTTCATGATTATCATCTTCATCATCTTCATGATGTTCATAATTATCATCTTCATCATCTTCATTTTCAAGTTCCGAATAACTTATTTCATCACACTTGCAATTCTTCTGAAACATGTACACGAGATACCTGATGCTTATGAAAAGCACCATGACTCCAATGAACACACCAACCCACATCATAATAGTTTTCCAGGCCTGCGTGAGTCCTAACGCGTCGACAATGTCACGCGGAGTGTCACCACAAATTTTAACAAACGCTTCCCACAAAGTCGGATTTTCATCACAGCGGGGTCTTAAGGTATCGGGCAGATATTCAATATTGACATATTGTAACGAATTGTGAGGTGCAGAAGGGTTGCAAGCTACACACACTGTTTCTGCCCTCTCTTTAACATCGAGCAAGTCACAAAAATCGGTGATTTTCAATGAGCTTTTATTATCTTCACAGAATTGATTCAATTTCTCTTCGAAGCCCGGTCTTTGGATAAAGTACTCAATGTCCTTGTTCGTGATGGTCTTGTTGTTCTTCATTTTATCGATTGTTTCTCCAATAATAGTCTCCTCTTTTGGCAATTTGTTATTCAAGAAGGATTCGAAAGCCGTAAACAATGGAGCGTCAGTGTTTTTTTTGAGGTACCTCATCACCAGGTTCAAGTTAGGCATGAGTTTATCCATGTCCTTAGAATTGCATTGGGGAATTCTATGGGGATGATCTTTGTAAGCACAAGAGCGATTTTCCAACTTGCACCTATTAACTTCTCCGGTTTCACTATTAAATAGAAAGCAGCCTTTGGCCTTGTGACATTCTTGAATCAGTTGGTCAATACCGAGTGCTACTCCTACTAATACTACTCCCCCAGTAGCAGACACTTTTTTCCATCCGCTATTATAATGATCTATCAATTTATTTTGCTGAGTCTTTGAAAGCTTCTCCTTCGCCTCATCGATCGGTACATCGTAATCTTTCATCTTTCCTTTTTTTAACGTAACGATTTCTTCCTCCAAATCGGCAATCTTTTTCGCTGCAGAGTTAATTTGTTTTTGTATACCCTTTTCGACCTCCTCGCTTATTACGTTTTCCATTCCCAAACTTCTAAAGACTTTTCTGATGCGACCGGATTCCAGGTGGAACTCAAGATCACCGATATCGGTTCCTCCAATGCGGACTACTCCTTTTTCAGTCTTTTCTAGATGAGGAGCTGGTAATTCATCTCCTATTTTCTTAAAGTTGATAAATTCAGGCATGCCTTTTTCAAGATCCTTGATCAGCTCCGTTCTTGCACTCTTGAAAGCTGATATTTCATCGGTTGGTGATTCAATACCACTGGATACAGATTTCCTGAACTTACTGAAGACTGAACGGATATTTATTTTCATTTTTAAAATTTCAAACGGTCTGGTAAATTAATTTTCAAATTTTATATTGTTCGATTGTTCTATAATACATTTAAGGTAAGGGTGATCATTAATTGATGTCAATTGTCGCTATCTTGTTTTGCTGTTGTTATTGTATGGCAATTGGCTTTTTGGCTGTTTCGATCATTAGTCGATTAATAATGAGCTTATTGAAAGTTAATTAATCAATGATGATTGTTTTTTGATGTTATATCAGAGGAAAATTACTGTAGTGGAAGTTAAATATTGTTTTCGCTACTAGATGACTACGCCTTCTCGCTATCAGATAAATTATCTACATTAATATATAAGGTGCACTGTTAAAAATTTTTGTAAAATTACAATCATATTACAAAACAAATAATAAGTAAAATTACAAATCAGTGTATAGCAATCGGAAATAAAATACAATTCATGAAATTTTCCAACACCTGTCAGAAAATCTACTAAGATGTATTGTAATTTTTCAATCTTCTTGTATAAACCTAACACGCATTGTAATATTACAGAACCGTTGGTCAATTTAAAAGAAAAAGCTTTTTAATTTTGCAAACATTATTTGTGATCTGATTCGGCATAATTGTATGTAAAATCACAAAAAAAATATTATAATTTATACTACAATAATCTCATAAAAAATTAAAAAAGCTTTTTTTTTATTTTTACAATTTGTAACGGGTGGTTTATTTCTCGTTCATTGGCCCCTTATTAATTTAATTAAATAAGACAAAAAATAACAAAATGATTCTAAATTGAATAAGGACGCCACCAGGATTTTTCATCACGGTTCCTGGAACCGGAAACCAGAGCTGAGCTTATAATCTACAGGGAGAGAGAGTGGAGGAAGGTGTTCTGAAAATGAATAAATCTTTATTTAACAAAATAACCGGTATTTATTTAACAAATCAAATTTAAGAAATTTGGCTGACAATTCAGCTCACTTACAAACTAATAACTTATTAACTAACGACGCGGAGAATTAACTGCGAAATATACGATATTTATAAACGACCCTTTTTTCCAACGACGATACGATGACTAGCTGGGATGTTCTAACTGACGGTCTCCCACAACCTGATTACAACTAATTGGGCTTTTTCAGAACTAACGGTCTCCCACACCTGCCTAAAACTAAACTTAATCCTGCAGTACCCTCCCTTGAGCGTCTATACTGCAGTTTCTATCTTACTACCGTTGTACCCCACTTGGCGTCTATACAACGGCTTCTAACTACGTCGCGTTGTCCACTCGGCACACACGCTCTAGAAATGCCTCACACAATCCACACTATCTCCACACACATAACCCGCTCGTCTCCACACACATATCCCGCTCACACACACACACACACTGACTCTACTTTACTTTTCTATTTCCGGATTTACAAAATCCGAACAAAAACAGTTTCACTGTAAAAAAATTGCGCCAAGTCCACGTTCATAAAACTCATCTCAATAACATTTGCACTTTACAAATAAAATTAGGCTCGTTTTAATAATTTTCATTCTCTACAAAAAGTTGTGAAATACAAAAAAATACCAAGAAACCGTCATAATGTTGAAAAAATTGAAAAAAAATTTGTTGAAAATTAAAAAATTAAAAAAAAAATTTTTTATCGTACTTGGCGCGCGTCATTGAGTACCCCAAATTTTTTCGGAAGATTTTCAACCCAAGAAAAAACGATTTTGCTTGTATGTATATAATCATATTATATATTTATATAGATTTACATTAGTCAAGAATACTGAACTCATTAAAAATAGCACCGCTTAGTGTATTAATTATCAGTTTTAGTGAAAAAACCCGTTTTAAAAATTTTTTTTAGATCTTTAGTGAAAACAACTGTCAATATGGTGGTGTGTTCAAGAAACCTGAAATTATATAAAATTTTAGGATTCATTTTTTTTCAGCTCTGTCATTAATCTTTAGTGAAGAACCTTATGCAATATTAAAGCTTGATATTGCTTCGTTTAATTGTAACTAACACATTTTGATTGGCACTCACACCGCATTTTCCCAATGTAGTCGGCCATATGTTTTATTTTTTAGTATATAAACACAATTCTCACAATGCAACCGACCCATCGTGTGCATGCGTATCGAATTGTATGTAGTTTGCATAACTGCGTATGACATGTCGATTTTACCTAACTATTGTAAAACTTATTATGAAATAATATAGGTTCACTCACTTATAAATTTCTCAACATTGAAAAGATGTTCATTTATCCTGAAAAAATTTGGGGTACTCAATGACGCGCGCCAAGTACGATAAAAAATTTTTTTTATAATTTTTTAATTTTCAACAAATTGTTTTTCAATTTTTTCAACATTATGACGGTTCCTTGGTATTTTTTTGTATTTCACAACTTTTTGTAGAGAATGAAAATTATTGAAACGAATCTAATTTTTTTGTAAAGTACAATTCAAAAAAAATATTTTTTCAAAAAATCTACTAAATGGCTTCACCGATCACTTCCAAAAACTAATCAGCTCTTAACCTTGCAAAACCACGTCGATCACCGTTGGACCGGTCAAAATCGGTTTATTCGTTCGTGAGATATCGAAAACGAAAAATTTCAAAAAAAATATTTTTTCAAAAAATCTACTAAATGGCTTCACCGATCACTTCCAAAAACTAATCAGCTCTTAACCTTGAAAAACCACGTCGATCACCGTTGGACCCACGAAGTATAGATACAAGGAGTCCGAACGGTATAGGATTTTTCACATTATTTATGTACACAAATAATCGACCCAGATCATAGTTCTCTTTTTTACCACAGGCTGCGCGAGTGTTCAGGAGGTACCGATACTATTATTATTATTACACGTAAATACGGACTGGCTAACCTGGCTCGTCAATGTAAAAAAATAAATTAAATTAAATATAAAATATTAATTTATTTTATTAGAATTATTTTTATAATAAAATGGGAAAGTGTTGTGCCGTTGATGGTTGTCTTAGTGGCCGAAAGGCAAGTGAGCATTTAGGAAAAGTGGCTTTATTCAAAGCACCAAAAGTGAGTAACTTCAAAATAATATTTAAAATTTTATGTTAATAAATAATTGATTATTACATTAGTGTAGTTTTTAAATAATAATATTTAAAAAATGTTATATTTTCATTTTTCTTGTGTAGTATAGAAGTAATTATTTTAGTTTAATATTTTTTTCTAAAAGGATGTTGAAATGCTCAGCAAATGGAGCACTGCTCTTGGCAAAGAATTAAAAAATACCAATTTTATTTGCGAATTACATTTTAATCCAAACGATGTTATTAAAAGTAATCAAGAGGTTCTAAAAGATGGGAGTATATATTTTTATGAATACGAAAAAGTTCATTTGAAGAAGAATGCTGTACCAAAATCCAATGTGACTACCAATGAAAATAATCACAGCTTATTATCAGATGATGTTCGTTCAAATACCTCTGGTATAATTAACGATGATGTAATTGTCGACTGTAGTCTAAATTCTATTGAGTCTACTGAGTCAATAATCGTAAATGAAATTATAAACGAAATAATTGAGCCTGACAATAAAAATTCTACAAACACAAATTTTGCTATTGGTACAAATATTTTGATTAATAGTGATAATTTGGTGATCATAAATGAGCCCGAAAAGTTTTCGTTTCATTCCATAGAAAAAATTTTAGAAATTAAGCCACTACGTAAAAATTGGAGTTGGACTGTGATTAAAGATTCGTATATTTCATTATCATATATAAATTTAAAATTGGAATTAGTTTGTCACGTAAAAATTCATAAAGATCTAAAAGTTACGGTAAGAAGCTTAACTGGAAACAATTATTTGAATGGTATCAAAAAGTTATTCTTACGTTACAGATCGTGAATGCCAAAACGAATATCCTTATTGATATGGATGTAAATATTTCGTCAATTGATTGTGTTTGGCAGTTATTAAGCTCTTTAGAAAACACCTTTTTCTGTAGTGGAACTGGATACGATGACAAAAAGTAACCATGAATTTAGATACATTAATTTATAATAACTAATGCTATTGTTACTTAGTAATTAAAATCTCAAGTACCGTGTTTAACATGTAATTGAATCTTAATATTTAATTTTTATAGATGTTCAGTCACTTGTACAGGTATATTATTGCCGGAGGAAAGATATAAAAGAAAAGTTGTGGAATACAGATGCATTACTTGTCGAAAATTGAGACGTTTGATCCAAAAACGTAAGACGGAAACAACAAATAATGAAGCTCGATGGATGAGTTTTAAGCATCGCTATATTTTACAACGCAGAAAGCTTAATCGAGTTGTTCACACGGTAAAGTTTTGTTTTTATCTAATTCCAAATTAACATCTTGCAATTAAAAAATATTAATTGCTAATAATTCACATGCAATAAGGCTTTTCAAACACTGTGAATTTGAAAATGCATAATGAATTTATGAATGTGCTTGAAGTTGAAAACTTTATATACAACAGTTGTTGAAAAATTATACATTTTTTTATATTCTTGTGAAGTTTCTGCAACTTCAAAATAGTTATGAATTGAAAATAATCCTTTTCAGTCCTTTTCGGTCACGTATACTCAAAAATATATCACTGTTCTTGTAAGTCCCAAATATAATTCAAACATAAATCGGAGTAGACACTTCGTTCAATCTATGGCTTTCGAACCTCGCAAACGTTCTTAAATTACAAAAAATAAATTTCCCGGTCACTCTATCAACTTATAATTTACTTAGTTTATTTCTGGTAAATGTTTAAATTCTCTTATAAAAAAAATTGGACTCTCGCCGGACTTTGGAACGATAAAGTAAACCACTTTTCGTTAAATTGTCACTTTAATTTTTTGTGGAATATATTAGAAATCTACAGAGGCTGTAACTTCAATTTTATGTAGTTGAAATAATCGGAAATAATTTTTCTGCACTTAATATTTAGTACTTTCGGAGTCTTTCTGTATAAAAAATAAGTATAGTTAATAACGAAATACGATTAATTTTGTTGATCTTCAACGTTTGACGCTGGTGTAATCATTTCAAATTGTTCGTATATACTTTCTCAAAATTTTTGAACATTTCTTTTTTAGAATAAAAATTTAAAGCAACAATTATTAGATTTAAAAAATCAATGCGCTGAAATAAAAGAGGAAGTTTTGTCTGAAAAAATTGCTGATTTACCTGCTTTACAGCAAGAAACTGTTAAAAATTGTTTATTGGCTGCAAAAGCTAAGAGTGCTAAACAACGCCGGTATTCCGTTGAGTGGGTGTATGAATGCCTGTTAATGAGCATTAAAAGTAGTGCTCTGTATGAACACATTAGAAAAAAAAATATCCTCCCTTTACCATGTAAGGATACTTTGATGAGATATATACAAAAACTCGATAGCGCTTTTGGGTTTCCCAAGGCGATTTTTGACACACTGAAACTGAAAGGTTCACGTATGGAAGTCTATCAAAAAAGGGGTACTTTTATACACAATTCTTACTGCTGAGTAGTTAACTAACAATTTCCAGTACACTTTTACTAATACTAATTTATAGAAAATAACAAAAACATTATAGATATTTGATGAGTAAATGTTGCTATAAAAATTAACTCGCTTCTGTAATTAATGTGCTATAAGGATGAAAGATTAACTCGCTATTAACTAATTTTTTGTTGACAGCTTTATTTTATAACTTATACTCTTTTACTAGTAGTTTTAACTTTCTTAGAAATGGATACGCTTTTTATCAGTTTTATTTTTTTTCATGTTAATTAAACATAACAACATATTTTGTAGGTATATTGTCAGTCGACGAGATAGCACTTAGCGAAGGCATTGCATTAAATCGTAAAACATTACAACTGGAAGGCTTTGTAGACTTTGGGGAATACACGCCTGACCACTTGAGACACACTAGAGCTGACCATGCGTTGGTTTTTATGTTTCAACCCTTTCAGGGCAAGTGGGTGCAAGTTGTTGGCCAATTTTTAAGTAAAGATTCAGTGACTAGTGAAATTCTTCAGAAACTACTTTTGGAATGTACAATTCTGCTTGAGAAAGCTGGTTTTTATGTGGACGGAATTGTATCAGATGCAGCACAATGGAATCGCGGTGTATGGAAATTGCTCGGCATACAAGATGGTAACTATAGTTGTGAGCACCCATATAATTTTTCAAGACGTCTATGGTTTTTTTCGGATTTCCCTCATTTATTGAAAAATTTTAGAAATAAAATTATGGAGCAGTCTGCCTTCTGGGTAATATTTAAAAATTGTTGGTTTTAAAAAATTATAATGTCGAGAAATTAAAGTAAATTTTATACTGTTTCTCACAGACTCCGGATGGAATTGTTAAAAAAAAACATTGGAATGCTCTGTTACAATATGAAAATTATTTAAAAGCTAATTTAAAAATGGCTTATAAATTGACTCCTCACCATCTTAAACCCGAAGGCTACCAAAAGATGAACGTTCCGTTAGCTGTAGAGGTATGTGCGTGAATAACTAATATATAATTTACAATAAAATACTACATAAACATACGTAACTCAATATTTTTAATTTATTACTCACAGCTATTCTCTGAGTCTATCTCAAACGCAATGAAGTTATTGAAAGATGAACCTGATTGTATTGAATTACATGACTGTGATAGTACCATAATTTTCATTGAGAGAGTGAATAAATTAATTAAAGCTATGTTGTCTAGAACTCCGGTTGATGCTTTAAGACCTGCTGATGATAATGTTTCGAAAAAAGTACATTAAGTATTGTTAACACTATTTCATTATTGGGATATTAATTTCAGAATTTGCTATTCATTACTTACAATAACTTTTTATTTTTTAATAGGCTATCATTGAGTTTGATACTTTTATAAGAAATTGGGAGACTACAGCTAAAGAAAAAATAGAACAACTTAAGCAAAGGAAAAAAAATGGTGACTCAGTCGATCTGGAGAAAATGAAAGGCTTTTATTTATCAATTACAGCTAGTACCCTGACTGGACTAAAAATTTCTTTGGGGTCTACCTTGGAATTGATAGATTTTTTACATTCCAAGTGCAATTATGATTATCTGATGACGTCGAGATTAACACAAGACATGCTCGAAGTGAGTTTTTATCATTTTTTCATTTGTGTGTCGCTGATAAGTTTAAAAGTAATTTTTAAGAAATTTTGTCTTCTTCATTATGATTACAACTTATTCTCATCATTTAATAACGCAATTATATGATTTTAGAAATTTTTTGGGATCGCTAGAAGTGCGTGTGGGTCCAATGATCATCCTGACCCTATTTTGTTCTCACAAGTATTCCGGTTGCTCTGCTCTTATTCATTGGCAACACCTCCAAAAGGGTCTAATGTGACTGCAGGAGAATTATTAGGTTCATTAATGCACACTAGAGAATCGTTTGAAGCAAGTAATGTTAACAAAGAAAACTGGAGTAAAAAAATTGATGCTATCATTGAAAATGCATCTGGAAATCCCAGTAGTGCAGAAGCAAATACCGACGATGATCGTACAGGTTCTAATAATGCAAGTGACAATAATAATAACAATAATGATGATGATAATAATGATGTTGACGGCGATAAAAATAAAGTTATTAATAATGATAACGACTATGATAATTATGATAACACTAAAAGAGATCATGAGGGTGATGATAATAACAATGAAGTGCCTTTGAACTCGGTGGACTCAAGATATGAACACGATTACGATATTGCTCAAACTAGCAACTATGTGATTTCATATATTGCGGGGTATGTAGCCCGTAAAATAGGTCGGTTTTCCAAATGCTTTGACTGCACAGAGTCTATGCAGTCAAGAGTAGTGACGGCTCGTGATAAATTTATAGAACTTATGGATAAAGGTGCATTGATTTATCCTAGTGAAAAATTATTTAATTTAATTAAAAGCTTATATTTTGAAAAAATAAAAAAAACAACTTTTTTTCACTTTTTTTGCAATTTCTCGAAATCTACCGGTCCGAATTGGTTCCAACTCATAGAAAATCTAAGTTTGGCGAAGCCCTTTCGAATGTCACCAACTGCGATCAAATCGGACACACACACATACATACAAACGTACGGACATCATCGTAAAAATAGTCAAGAAAGCTTCTTAGGGCTTCAAAACGTCGAGATCTGTTGAAACCTCGATTTTTTCAAAACGAGGTAAAACCAATAACTTCCTGATTTTTCGAAAATCATTGATTTTCTTAGCGGGAAGTTAAAAATTTTTAAATGAGTTCTTAGTTTTTATTGATACATTACGTATTGATTATTCAAACAAATATTTCAATTGGTTAGAAATTGATTAGACGGCAGAATTATTATAGACAAAAAGTTCAGTCCTAATATATACTTTGCTAAGATATTTCTGCTAGCGAGAATTTCAGGCCAAGAACTAACTTTATAAGTTGTTAAAAAATTATACAATTTTAATCATTTAATTTCAATCATGATGTCCCGAAAAATTAAAAAAATTTGTTTTAAAAATATTCCAATATTAAAAAATCTCAATGTAAAATCCATCTAAACTTTAGACTCTTCCGTCTTTTTCTCATCTTTGTGATGTTCATCTCTGTGATGTTCATCTTCATGATGTTCATGATTATCATCTTCATCATCTTCATTTTCAAGTTCCGAATAACTTATTTCATCATCCTCGCCTTTCTTCCGAAACATGTACACGAGATACCCGATGCCTATGAAAAGCACCATGACCCCAATGAACACACCAACCCACATCATAATAGTTTTCCAGGCCTGCGTGACTCCTAACGCGTCGGCAATGTCACGCGGAGTGTCACCACAAATTTTAACAAACGCTTCCCACAAAGTCGGATTTTCATCACAGCGGGGTCTTAAGGTATCGGGCAGATCTTCAATATTGACATATTGTAACGAATTGTGAGGTGCAGAAGGGTTGCAAGCTACACACGCAGTTTCTGCCCTCTCTTCAACATCGAGCAAGTCACAAAAATCGGTGATTTCCAATGAGCTTTTATTATCTTCACAGAATTGATTCAATTTCTCTTCGAAGCCCGGTCTTTGGATAAAGTACTCAATGTCCTTGTTCGTGATGGTCTTGTTGTTCTTCATTTTATCGATTGTTTCTCCAATAATAGTCTCCTCTTTTGGCAATTTGTTATTCAAGAAGGATTCGAAAGCTGTAAACAATGGAGCGTTACTGTTTTTTTTGAGGTACCTCATCACCAGGTTCAAGTTAGGCATGAGTTTATCCATTTCCTTAGAATTGCATTGGGGAATTCTATGGGGATGATCTTTGTAAGCACAAGAGCGATTTTCCAACTTGCACCTACCAACTTCTCCGGTTTCACTATTAAATAGAAAGCAGCCTTTGGCCTTGTGACATTCTTGAATCAGTTGGTCAATACCGAGTGCTACTACTCCTACTAATGCTACTCCCCCAGTAGCAGCCACTTTTTTCCATCCCGTATTATAATGATCTATCAATTTATTTTGCTGAGTCTTTGAAAGCTTCTCCTTCACCTCATCGATCGGTACATCGTAATCTTTCATCTTTCCTTTTTTTAACGTAACGATTTCTTCCTCCAAATCGGCAATCTTTTTCGCTGGATAGTTAATTTGTTTTTGTATACCCTTTTCGACCTCCTCGCTTATTACGTTTTCCATTCCCAAACTGCTAAAGACTTTTCTGATGCGACCGGATTCTAGGTGGAACTCAAGATCACCGATATCGGTTCCTCCAATGCGGACTACTCCTTTTTCAGTCTTTTCTAGATGAGGAGCTGGGAATTCATCTCCTATTTTCTTAAAGTTGATAAGTTCAGGCATGGCTTTTTCAAGATCCTTGACCAGCTCCTTTCTTGCACTCTTGAAAACTGATATTTTCTTGCTTGCTGATTCAATAACACTGGATATAGATTTCCTGAACTTACTGAAGACTGAACGGATATTTATTTTCATTTTTAAAATTTCAAACGGTCTGGTAAATTAATTTTCAAATTTTATATTGTTCGATTGTTCTATAATACATTTAAGATAAGGGTGATCATTAATTGATGTCAATTGTCGCTATCTTGTTTTGCTGTTGTTATTGTATGGCAATTGGCTTTTTGGCTGTTTCGATCATTAGTCGATTAATAATGAGCTTATTGAAAGTTAATTAATCAATGATGATTGTTTTTTGATGTTATATCAGAGGAAAATTACTGTAGTGGAAGTTAAATATTGTTTTCGCTACTAGATGACTACGCCTTCTCGCTATCAGATAAATTATCTACATTAATATATAAGGTGCACTGTTAAAAATTTTTGTAAAATTACAATCATATTACAAAACAAATAATAAGTAAAATTACAAATCAGTGTATAGCAATCGGAAATAAAATACAATTCATGAAATTTTCCAACACCTGTCAGAAAATCTACTAAGATGTATTGTAATTTTTCAATCTTCTTGTATAAACCTAACACGCATTGTAATATTACAGAACCGTTGGTCAATTTAAAAGAAAAAGCTTTTTAATTTTGCAAACATTATTTGTGATCTGATTCGGCATAATTGTATGTAAAATCACAAAAAAAATATTATAATTTATACTACAATAATCTCATAAAAAATTAAAAAAGCTTTTTTTTTATTTTTACAATTTGTAACGGGTGGTTTATTTCTCGTTCATTGGCCCCTTATTAATTTAATTAAATAAGACAAAAAATAACAAAATGATTCTAAATTGAATAAGGACGCCACCAGGATTTTTCATCACGGTTCCTGGAACCGGAAACCAGAGCTGAGCTTATAATCTACAGGGAGAGAGAGTGGAGGAAGGTGTTCTGAAAATGAATAAATCTTTATTTAACAAAATAACCGGTATTTATTTAACAAATCAAATTTAAGAAATTTGGCTGACAATTCAGCTCACTTACAAACTAATAACTTATTAACTAACGACGCGGAGAATTAACTGCGAAATATACGATATTTATAAACGACCCTTTTTTCCAACGACGATACGATGACTAGCTGGGATGTTCTAACTGACGGTCTCCCACAACCTGATTACAACTAATTGGGCTTTTTCAGAACTAACGGTCTCCCACACCTGCCTAAAACTAAACTTAATCCTGCAGTACCCTCCCTTGAGCGTCTATACTGCAGTTTCTATCTTACTACCGTTGTACCCCACTTGGCGTCTATACAACGGCTTCTAACTACGTCGCGTTGTCCACTCGGCACACACGCTCTAGAAATGCCTCACACAATCCACACTATCTCCACACACATAACCCGCTCGTCTCCACACACATATCCCGCTCACACACACACACACACTGACTCTACTTTACTTTTCTATTTCCGGATTTACAAAATCCGAACAAAAACAGTTTCACTGTAAAAAAATTGCGCCAAGTCCACGTTCATAAAACTCATCTCAATAACATTTGCACTTTACAAATAAAATTAGGCTCGTTTTAATAATTTTCATTCTCTACAAAAAGTTGTGAAATACAAAAAAATACCAAGAAACCGTCATAATGTTGAAAAAATTGAAAAAAAATTTGTTGAAAATTAAAAAATTAAAAAAAAAATTTTTTATCGTACTTGGCGCGCGTCATTGAGTACCCCAAATTTTTTCGGAAGATTTTCAACCCAAGAAAAAACGATTTTGCTTGTATGTATATAATCATATTATATATTTATATAGATTTACATTAGTCAAGAATACTGAACTCATTAAAAATAGCACCGCTTAGTGTATTAATTATCAGTTTTAGTGAAAAAACCCGTTTTAAAAATTTTTTTTAGATCTTTAGTGAAAACAACTGTCAATATGGTGGTGTGTTCAAGAAACCTGAAATTATATAAAATTTTAGGATTCATTTTTTTTCAGCTCTGTCATTAATCTTTAGTGAAGAACCTTATGCAATATTAAAGCTTGATATTGCTTCGTTTAATTGTAACTAACACATTTTGATTGGCACTCACACCGCATTTTCCCAATGTAGTCGGCCATATGTTTTATTTTTTAGTATATAAACACAATTCTCACAATGCAACCGACCCATCGTGTGCATGCGTATCGAATTGTATGTAGTTTGCATAACTGCGTATGACATGTCGATTTTACCTAACTATTGTAAAACTTATTATGAAATAATATAGGTTCACTCACTTATAAATTTCTCAACATTGAAAAGATGTTCATTTATCCTGAAAAAATTTGGGGTACTCAATGACGCGCGCCAAGTACGATAAAAAATTTTTTAAAACCAGCTAAATGATTGTGACGAAAAAAGTCGGATTTTGGTCTTGAAACAATAGAAAACAATTTTATTATAACATTAAAAATGATCTGAAATTGGTCTGAATTGTGAATAATACGGGCAAAAACAGATTAAATTCTCATATAAAATAGATACACATAATAAAATTAAATTAAATGAAAAATATTAAAAATTTTTATTAATCATAAAACAGACTAAATTTTTTGACCCGGGTTCCTTCGTGGACTTCTGGATCTTACTCGTTTCAGCACTTCACTACTTCTCCCGACAGCCGACACAACGCATCGCTCACCTATTTAATGACTCCCCAAAATACCCCCTCCTCGTCTCTCTCTCTAGGCCCGAAGATCGATGCGCTCAATGCTAGTCGAAAAGTTATCGATCTCTGGCGACTTATCGATTAAGGGTAATTTACCCTGTTACAAATTTTCATTGTAAAATTACACAGTGCAATGTAATGTTACCAGACAATTTCAATTATATTACACGAATTGTAATTCTACTTCACTGTTTTCCAATTTTAAAAACAATACTTTTCAGTTTTACAAAAATGAGACTGATGTATCAAAAAACAGCAATGCCCTTCATATTTATTTTTACTAATTTTTAGTCTATGGTTGTTTATTTGTAATAATAAATTCGAGGCATCATTTATCTTTTATAAATTTTAATATTACGACCAAACGATCATTTCGAAATCAATATATTTTAATGAGTATATATTATAATTTAATTTCTATAATATTCAATGAATTATAAATAATGTAAAAGTTAGTTAATTTCTATCAATAAACAGCATCAAATAACACAAATAATGTAAATAATAAATAATAAGCCGTAAAGCTCAATTACCACATAGGATTAGCTTTTAATAATAATAAAATGTTAAATCACCTATCGGTCGTACAGCATAGGGCGTTAGGTATCGGTCTGGCAAGCGCGCGGCTCGCGTTTGATTCTGAGTTAGGGTAAATATTATTTTCACTTTATATCATTAGAGTTGTAAAAATTAGGTTTACGTCAGATGCAAAATCTAGTGAGCGCTTCATAAAAATAAAATGACAACAAATATTAAATCAAATCTTTCTTTTTTATTATTTCAATTAAAGTAATATTCAAGGAAAGTATTGTAATTTTAAAAACTTAGCTAATCTAAAAATATTTGTAAAATTACAAAACCGTTTTGTAAAATTAGTAACCTCATAGAGCTATATATGTTTTGTAATATTACTATACCCGATTGTAATTTTAAATAAATGTTTTGCCTATTAGCTTCCGATACATTTCTTGTAAAATTACAATAGAAATTTTTAACAGTGTGATGTTTTTTTGGGAATAGACAGAAAAGTTTTACCAAAAGATGCTGCGTATTTCGGAAAGAAGTTTTAGTATATACATCTTCAATTGCTCATCTCTAACCTACATTTTTCGGATTGCAAAATGATAAATTATAAATTCGGTATTTTCGATTATCGTTTATAGAAAATAAAAATATAAATTCTAGGATTTATTTCTTATTTATTTGAATCAAAATTTGTTTATTCAATATTATTCTAAAATCAAATAAAATTTAAATAATAAATCATTTTAGAGGCGCGCAGCCTATCGGATCCGGCCCTTGCTACCAAAGCATTGGACCGGGTTCGAATCCGGCGTACACCAATGAATATTTTCAATACTTAAGTGTATATTATTCTGCTCAGCCCAAGAAATACAAACGAGTTCCAATCTCAAAAGTGTACCCCCTACCGTAGTCGCTCATGACCTTAGTAGTTTATGCGACTTTAACAAATAAAAAAAAAAAAAAAAAAAAAAAATCATTTTAAAAGTTTATTTTGAATTTATATTTCTGAATAATATATCCCGAAAATATACTAAATATATTGCGTGACAAATGCCAAAAAAAAGTATTCCAATCTGTACGCTCTTTGGCTTTGTATTTTTATCTTACTACCGTTGTACCCCACTTGGCGTCTATACAACGGCTTCTAACTACGTCGCGTTGTCCACTCGGCACACACGCTCTAGAAATGCCTCACACAATCCACACTATCTCCACACACATAACCCGCTCGTCTCCACACACATATCCCGCTCACACACACACACACACACTGACTCTACTTTACTTTTCTATTTCCGGATTTACAAAATCTTTACAAAATAATCTCCAAAAATTAACACATTAATTTTTATCAAAATTTTCAGTCATTAGCTCGCGATAAAAACCATAAATTATTCTCACAACTAATAATTTATTCCTTAAAAAATTCCGGCCTAAAACCGACGTTTCTTTTTCTCCCAAATTTAACACGAGCTTATACTCAGCACATTAAATAAATTCTCAGAATATTCTTTATAAATTTAACTAAATTTTCTCGGACGTAATCCACACTGATAAATAGTTTTACAAAGAATTTTACCGGGATAATGATATTAAATTATTGACAAATTTTCCAAAACATGAGTTCAATATATAAAAACAACCCAAGTAGAAATTGGCAATTAAATTAGATCATTAATTAGTGATTTCCTCAATATAAAAATTAATTGCCTTAAGTTTATCTACGGGTATACTGATGTTATCTGCGCCAAAATTTAGTAAATAAATTCTCAATAATTAATATCATGTTGAATAAATATTTTCCGGTAATTGAAAATGACGATTAATGATGATTAACGATAATTCAATTGTTGTAATTAATAATAATAGTCCAATTGTTGATTTTATAAATCTACTGCGTCATAAAATTCCCAAGGAATTTGCGCGCTCAAAATGGACACCGTTGTTCGTAACTGCGAAGCACGTTTTGACCTCGGGTATCGAATACTATGTCGTGTCGATTGGAACCTTCTCGATGTTCAGAAATTAATTAATATAAAATAGATTTATTTAAACCAATCTAAGATATTAATAATTATTAACCAAAATTAATTATTCACGACTTGCAAACCCAAGAGGTCTAGAACGAATGTTCTAGACCTCGGGTGTAAAATCCCCAAGAAGAATGCTCAAACTGCTACCGAACCCAATCAATTAAAATAATTAATTATTATTAAGCAAGCTATTGTTAAACAATTGAATTATCGAAAATTGAATTTATAAGTGAGAAGTAGTATTATTGATGAGCCGGGTATTTACCCCAAGTCTCATCACTATCAAAGTCCAATACCTGGTGTAAATTGGCTTGAAGAACCCCCGGGCTTCCCGAGTCG